GGGCTGGGCGGGGAGAGAAGTGCAGCAATGAATGAATGGAAATCCAAAATCTCTGTAAATGTTCATTAAAATTATTTTTTAAAAAATCAATACCAATTACAAAAAAAAAAGATAAAGTCATATTACCAGACACAGGGGAGCTGAGCCATGTGTGCAGGATATGCCAGCCTAAGTGAGTTCTGTAAACACACATTTTCTTATACTGTTTGCCACTCACCTCTTCTTTTACCTCAAAGTTCCTTTACGTAGCTCGAAATGCCAAAGACTGTATGGTTTCCTACTATCATTTCCAAAGGATGAATCAAATCCTTCCTGATCCTGGTACCTGGGAAGAGTATTTTGAAACCTTCGTCAGTGGAAAAGGTAAAGCAAATCCTTCATGCTTTGGATTCCTATTCAAATTCAGGTTGAGGCTAGAGGATGTTGTTGTTGTTGTGTACCATAAAGTTGGATCTGATGCATAGCTGACCCTCCATTGGGTTTTCAGAGGCAGTCAATCACACAGGAGGAGATTGCCCATACTGTTATCTTTTTATTCCCTAGAATGTTGTGTGTCTTACTGTTTTGTGCCACTGAGTCAGAATCAACACAGAGCTGACCCTGCAGCAGGTTTTCAGAGGCAGTAAATCACCTGGGAGGAGAATATCCATCTTTTTCCCATGGGACAACTGGTAGATTCGAACCATTTGCCTTTGGGATTGCAGTGTTACTTCTTACCCTTAGTCTACCAGAACTCCCTAGAATGTTACATGCCTTATTAGGAATATCTTATTACAGACTTCAGAGTCCCTGAGTGGTGCAAACTAATGTAATCAGAGTCTTGGTGAAAGACTGGAGGTTCAAATCCACCCAGATATCTTCATTTTACTTGCAAAACTTCAAATATTAAAATCTTTACAGAGCAGAGTTCTACTCTGAAATATATGTGGTCATCGGAAGTCAGAACTGACTTGATGGGAAACTGGTTTGGTTAACAGACTGACTGGGTAACAGCACGACTGCTCTCAAAGTGTATCCCCACAGATTCAAATTCACAAAATCTGAATTTGCATCCAGATTCAAACTGATAACTTTTGCTCTGGTCACCCAACCTCTAAATTGTTCCTCATTTCCAATGGTGCTCCCTTTCCCAAAATGGGAAAATATGTGATTTCACACTGTACACATAAAGCCACTTGAGGTAACATGTTGAGGTAAATTATCCCAGAGACTGACTCAAAATTCAACAAATTAGGACTCTTGGTGCTTATCTGACTTAGAATTTGGGGTGAGGGGGTTTCTCTACAATGACCTCAGAAAAACAAAAATTCTTATTATCAAAATATATTGCATAATTCTATATGAATCTCTACATAGTTCTTTTCATTGCTGTTTGTTACAGTGGGCTGGGGTTCCTGGTTTGATCATGTGAAAGGATGGTGGGAAATAAAAGACAAATACCAGATTCTCTTTCTTTTCTTTGAAGACATAAAGAGGGTAAGTAAAGGTCTCTCAGAAGAATCACTTCAGACCCAGATACAAAGAAATCCAAAAGTACTTCAGGATTTAATTCAGAGAGGGGTGCCTTGAAGAATTTACTACGTCCTTCTGATTCCTTTTTCTGTTTCAATCCAATGCTCCCACAGAATCCAAAGCATGAAATTCAGAAGGTGATGCATTTCATGGGAAAGAATTTGGATGAAACTGTCCTAGATAAAATTGTCCAGGAGACAACATTTGAGAAAATGAAAGCGAATCCTATGACAAATCGTTCTACAGCTCCCAAAACTGTCCTGGACCAGTCTATTTCTCCCTTCATGAGAAAAGGTTGGTGTGACCTATTTATCAAATCTCAGCTTGTCTGAAAACATACTTCTTGCCCCTTAACAAGAAGACATTGGATTTTTATTATTACCAAGATAATGTTTTTTATTATTATTCATAATACCTTTTGCTAATGATTCTACTGTAGAGTTCTCTGGGGTATTTGGCTACAAGGAACTGAGAGTAACTTGAGCTAGCACTAAACGATCTTTTTGTGAAGATTTGCATGGGACAGCAAAGGGAAAGGAATCGCTAGGCTTAGAACGAAAACCACTGTTGGTCCAGACCTCATCAAAACCCCTGAATCTAAGAACTTTAAGATTTCAGGCACAGACAGCAACTGCCCTTTCCTCTAGCTATCCACCACTTACTTGACTCGGTTACCATCTGTGTCTGCTCTTTGTCTTTCTCAGTGTCCTAACACTCCACCCCCTACCTTTTCTCCACTTCATAATTTCTTCTTAGTTTCTGTTCACAGCTTGGTCTTGACCATGACCAAAACACACTCTGTATTACGATTTTTCTTTAATTTATATTGGTTTGCTTAGAAAGTTTGTATTCATTTTGTTTCACACTCTTCTTCATTCTCGTTGTGTTTCATACAATCATTCTTATGACGTTTTAAAAAATTAATCACCCTTGGACCTTGCCCATCATTATTACCCTGTCTTTTCAAGTCCCCACCAGATCCTTCCCATTTCCTCCATCCCCTCCCTCCACCCACCAAATTGTGCAACCCTGTGGTTTCATGCCTGCCCAGACTCTATCCTCTACTCCAATCCCTTCCCCCTTCTTGGGCTCCCATACTTGTTTTACTAGTTACCCTTCTATTTTTTTGTATTACAATTTTTAACTACAACTTCTACTGACAATGACCTCATTCTATTCATATTTCTTAGTTCAAGTACGCAAAAGAAGACTTCTAAATTAATTTGTTTAGAACGTTTAATGATAAAACCTTATTGGATTTTTAAAATAATTATATAATACATGTTTATTATAAGAAATGAAGTAATTAAAGAATTTTTTAAAATTTTGACACCAAAACCCTACTCCCCAGAACTACCAACATTTCAACATTTTAGCACGCTCTTTCTCTCCCCCTCTCTCTTTTTCATAAGCACTTGTTTTTCATATTGAAACAATATTGTATACACTGCTTTACAAACTATTTCCTCCCTTTCATTTTGCACATTATTTAATATGGGGAGTCAGACTATGGAAAATGATTCCTTCTTTTCCTATTATTTCATTTCCCATATAGTCAATAGTTGTGGTGTAGCAAGGAGTCCTTCCTGGGGTCCGTCTGTGCCCACATTTCTATTTCCTTCCAAATATATCCACGAACCTTTTCACAGGCTCATTCTTAAACAAGTCAATGCATATAGATCCATCTATATCATTGTTCTTAGTAGTCCCATTGCATTATTACTTAGACCAATATTCCCATAGTGATAGGGTAGGCAATCTTCTCCCGTTTGATTAACTGCCTCTTAAAACTGGAGGGCCAGTACATAAGTGTGTGTGTGTGTGTGTGTGTGTGTGTGTGTGTGTGTGTGTGTAAAGATAAAAATGAGATAGATAGATGATAGATAGATAGATAGATAGATAGATCCTGTACCTAATTACTATAATAAATATTTTAAGAGCCCCAGAAAATTTCCTCTTATGTTTCTTTCTTTTTTTTTTTTTTTTTTTTTTTTTATTTTGTGTGCGTGTACCGTCAAATCAGATCTGACTGGTACAGGAGGATATTGCACCTCCTTTTCCGGCAAAGCATCTGGTGGATTCGAACCATGTTCCTCTGGGATTGCAGTGCAGCTTCTTGCCACTAGGCCACCAGAGCTCCCTTATGTTTCTTTCTAGTCAGTCCCTAAACCCAGAGGCAACTACTACTCAAATTTCTATCTTTTAGGTTAATTTTCCTACTCTTGGATTTTGTACAAATGCAATAATGTAATTCTTACTCTTTCATTGGGTGTATTTTGATTAACATAATGTTAAAGATTCCTCTGCATTGCTATGAGTGAGTGCTGTTGTTGTGTGTCAGTAATTCATTCTTTTTCTTTTCTGTGCATCAGTATATCATGGAAAGCACCTGCCTAAGGCCAGATCATTCTGTGGGGTAGTTGTTTTGCTCATTTATAAACTAACCCCTTACAATCAGCACCAGGATATTTGTACTCAAAGTAGAGAACTGTAGGTAGATTTGTGTCCACTTGAAAGGGATGCTGGCAAGCACAGTCATGTGGATGTGTGCTGTCCAAAACAAGCCATACACTGATTTATTTCAGTTAAAGAATGATACCCCTCTTTGGTCTCTCTTAGGAACTGTGGGAGACTGGAAAAACCACTTCACTGTGGCTCAGAATGAGAGGTTTGATAAAATCTATGCGGAAAAGATGGAAGGATGTTCAATAAAATTCTGCACAGAACTCTGAACATACTTAAATAAAAAGACAGAAGACAAGAATGAAGAGGCTATCTTTAATTCTTCATCCCCAGCCAAAAATATTTAGAACACAGCATTGTAAATTAATATATTGTAATACAAAATGTCAAAATGTGAGTATATTGATAATATGTAACAACTTCATTTAAAAAAACAAAAACAAACATGACCATATCTAATGCCTATTTAAGGAGCTCTGGCAGGCACAGAGGGTTAAGTGCTTGGCTACAAGTGAAAAGTCAGAAGTTCAAACCAACTAGCACCTCCACAAGTGAAATAGGAGGCACTCTTTCCATAAATGTTCACAGCCTCAGAAATCCAATGGGGCATTTCTCCTACTCAGTCCTATAGAGCTGCAGGGTTGTGTGATTCAAGTGCAGTAGGTTAAGTTAAATTAATGTCTGTTTCTCAATTATTCTTTCCAAAAAAATAAAAACAAGATGGCTTAACAAATTCTGCAAAATGTATCATTTGAGCACTGTAAAGTTGGTTTGGGTTGGGTTTTCACTACTCTGGTAAAATGCATTCTTTCTATTCAGTAATACCTTGAGTATAAATATGTAAATGTTGTTGGTGTTGTAATTTCTAGGAGCCATTGAGTTGAGCATGACGCATAACAACCTTATGAAAAACATATCTGAACCCTGTCTAAAACCCTGTGCCTTCTTCACAGTCTCTGACAACCTCAAGCCCATTGCTGCAGTCACTGTATCAATCCATCTAGTTGAGAGTCTTCCTCTCTTTTTCTGTCTTTCCAAGGAATAACTTCTCCTAGTAGCATGCCCAAAGTATGTGAGATGAAGCTTTATCATGTTTACCTCCAAGGAGCACTCTGGCTGCACCTTCTCCAAGACATGTCTGTTTGTTCTTTAGGCAGTAGGTGGGATATTCATCACTCTTCTCCAACACCACAGCTCAAGTGTTTTCATTTTTTCTTCCATCATCCTTAGTCATTATCCAGATATCAGTATCATAACAAGTGATTTTAAAACTATGGCCTGAATCAGGCACAACTTAATCCTCAAACTAACATAATTTCTCCTGCATAAGCTCACAAAGTCCCCAACTGCAGACTTTTCCAGTGCAATGTATGTCTTGCTCTCCTGACTGCTTGGTCCAAGGGTGTTTGTTATGGATCCAAGCAAGATGAAGTCATTGATAGTGGCCATCCTTTCTCTGTATTTCATTACATTGCCTATTAGTCCAGTGGTGAGAATTTTTGTTTTCTTGACATTGAGATGTAATCCGTACTGAAGCCTGCAGTCTTTGATCTTCTGCAACAAGCACTCCTCACTTTGAGCAAGCCAGACTGTCATCTGCATAAGAAAGTTATTAATGAGTCTTCCTCCAATCCTGATGCCACATTCTTCTTCATAGAGTCCAACTTCTTAAATACTTTGCTTAGCATACAAGTGAATAGGTATGATGAAAGGATATAGCCCTGACACACACCTTCCTTCATCTTAAACCGTGTAGTGTTCCCTTGCTCTTGTTCTAAGTAAAGGTTTCGCATGAGCACAATTAAAGTGTTCTGGGATCCCCATTCTTCTCAATGTTAGACATAATTTGTTATGATCCACACAGTCAAATCCCTTGGCATAGTCAATAAAGCATAAATAGGCATTCTTCTGGTATCCTTTGCTTTCAGTCAAGATCCACCAGAAAATTGCACTACAGCATCAAGAAGCCAAAACAAATGGAAGAAGTGTTGAAGTAGAATAGTTGAGCAGAAGATTTCAAAAGACAGCTGGAGAAGACAAGGCAAAGTATTATAACAGAGACCAAGAATCAGAAGAAAAAGAGAAGAATTGTTTTGGCATTTCTTAAACTGAAAGAACTGAGAAACAAACTCAAGCCTCAAGTTACAATATTTAGTAGTGCTATGGGCAAAATTTTGAATGCTCGCAGACATATCAGAAGAAGATGGAACAAATAGAATCGTGTACCAAAAGAATTGGCCAACACTATTTTCAGAAGTTTCATATGATCAGGAGACAGTGGTAGTGAAGAAAATCAAGCTGCACTGGCAAGAGAAGAAACGGGGGGTGGGGGAGAGAAGGAGAGGGGGGGGGAAAGAGAGGGGGGGAAGAAGGGAGGGAGGGAGGGAGGGAGGCAAGCCAACCCCAGGAATCAATGGGAAACCAATTGACACATTTCAAATGACAAATGCATTCCTGGACATGCTCACCAGTCTATGCCAGGAAATTTGCAGGACAGCTGCCTAGCTGACTAACTGAAGAGACCCATATTTGTTCCCATTCCCAAGAAAAGTGATCCAACAGAGCATGGAAATCATCAAACAATGTAGGTAATATCACATCTAAGCAAAACACTACTAAAGACCAATCAAAAATCCCAAGAATAGCACATTGACATATACCTGCCAGATGTCCAAGTTGACATGATAGATGGAGAAAGGATGGAAACTGTCAATGACTTCATCTCACTTGGATCCATAATCAACATCCTTAGACCAAGCAGTCAGGAGAGCAAGAGACACATTGCATTGAAAAAACCTGCAGTCAGGAACTTTGCAAACTTATGCAGGAGCAGTGCTGTTAGTTTGAGGACTAAGGTGTCCCTGATTATTGCTTATGTCAGATGGATCCTGGCTGAAATAAAAGGAATGCTAGATGAATGTAAATATTGGGTCATTTTATATTAATAATATAAAATTTCCAAAGTATTAGTCGATCAATTCTCCACATAAAAACAAATGACTATGCAATGTCTTTCTCACTTAAATATAATTTATATTTTAAAATGTCACTTTAAAGCATCCTCAAAGCATGTGAGCATATGAAAATAAAGTACAACTGGCTTGTATTCTAGCAGGAATGGAGAAGTCTACATCTATTAATACCTTGTGATCAGGAAGAGTATTTCAAATTCAAGTCCCACATCAAAAGTCACAAAATATATGTTGACTACAATCTAGATACATGTCTCAAGAACGTGTCCAAGTGATATGTTTCATTCAGAAAGATTCATAGCAGAAATGTGAGTAGGTCAAATAGTAGCAGTGGAACAGGAGAATGCCATGTACTACCAAGGCAGTATTCACAGTATAATCCATTCACTCATCAAAATCTGCTTTACTGCTTTAATTCCTATGATGTATTTGCTAAGTCACTATATGGTATGCATAGCAGAGCACTGCCTTTAGGACAACAAAAAACCCTTAGGATTCAGAGAACACCTGGATTCCCTCCAGAGCCGCCCCCCACCCCCACCCTGGGTAACACAAAAGGATAAGTGCACTGCTATAAAGGAAAGGTTGGAGGTTCCACCTCACCTGGAATCTCCCTAAAAGAAAGTCTTAATGTTCCACTTTCAAAAGAGCACAGTCTTGTAAACCCTGTGAAGTGCAGTTCTATTCAGCATATGTGGAATTGCCAAAGTCAGAATCAACTCAATAGCAACTGACTGGTGGAGGAGATGTGCTTCACATAATTACCAAGACAGATAAAAGAGCAATGTTCTCAGTAGCCAAAGATAGTTACATAAGAATCACAATAGTTAGAGAATAAAAACCTATCCCCAAGAATCAAAGGGAGTACAGCTTTTTTCACTATTGAAGTCTGAAAGAAATCCTCCAGCAACTCCTAAAAGAAGTCTGTGATGAGGCAACCACACAAATAGCATTTAAATATCTTTAAATAGCATTCTTTTTTACTTAATATTTTAATGAAAGGTCACTGTTGCACATTTTCTTCCCTGTCCTCCTAACCCCCCAGATGACTTTTTCTTTGGGGAAAAAAATTATTTCATTGTTATACAGA